ACAAACAAATATTGGACACCCCTAAAACCGACGATTTTTGCTGCCATGTGCTAAAAATGTGAAGTAGTCGCCATATGTTTGGAAAAATGCGTCGGACCACTTGATTCTTTTCACCTATTCTAGTTACCCATGTTCCAAAGTACCTTCTAGGACTGTTTTGGATTTTATTTGTGCACAAATATATGTTGGACATCTTTAAAACCGATGATTTTTGCCGCCACGTGCTAGAAATGCGACGTAATCGCCATATGTTTGGAAAAATGCGTCGAACCACCTGAATTCTTTCGCCTATTCTAGTGGCCCATGTTCCAACGTAGCTTTCAGTACTGTTTAGGATTCTATTTGTGCACAAAATAAGGTTGGACACCCCTAAAACCGACGTTTTTGGCTGCCACATGCTAGAAATGCGACGTAATTGCCATATGTTTGGAACAATGCGTCGGAGCACGTGATTATTTTCGCTTATTCTAGTTGCCCGTGTTCCAACGTACCTTCTAGGACTGTTTTTGACTTGATTCGTGCACAAACGAATGTTGGACACCCCTAAAACAGACGATTGTTGTCTCCAAGTCTTAATAATGCGACGTAATCGCCATATGTTTGGAAAAATGCGTCGGACCACTTGATTCTTTTCGCCTATTCTAGTTGCCCATGTTCCAATGTACCTTCTACGACTGTTTCTGACTCGATTTGTGCACTAACGAATGTTGGACACCCCTAAAACCGATGATTTTTGCCACCACGTGCTAAAAATGCGACGTAATCGTCATATGTTTAGAAAAATGCGTCGGACCACCTGATTCTTGTCGCCTATTCTAGGGGCCCGTGTTCTGACGTACCTTCTAGGACTGTTTTGGATGTGATTCGTGCAGAAACGAATGTTGGACACCCCTAAAACCGACAATTTTTGCCGCCACGTGCTAAAAATGCGACGTAATCGACATATGTTTGGAAAAATGCGTCGGAACACCTGATTATTTTCCCCTATTCTAGTTGTCCATGTTCCAACGTTCATTCTAGGACTGTTTCCAATTCGATTCGTGTACTAACGAATGTTGGACACCCTTAAAACCGACGATTTTTGCCACCACGTGCCAAACTGCAATGTAATCGCCATATGTTTGGAAGAATGTGTCAAACCACCTGAATATTTTAGCCTATTCTAGTGGCCCGTGTTCCAACGTACCTTCTACGACTGTTTCAGATTCGATTCGTGCACAAACGAATGTTGGACACCCCTAAAACCGACGATTTTTGCCGCCACGTGCTAGAAATGCGACGTAATTACCATATGTTAGGAAAAATGCGTCGCACCCCCTGATTCTTTTCGCCTTTTCTAGTTGCCCATGTTCCAACGTACCTTCTAGGACTGTTTCAAATTTGATTTGTGCACTAACGAATGTCGGACACCTTTAAAACATATGTTGGCTGCGCATGTCTAGTCCTATTGCCAAGCCAGCAAGAGCGTGGGAGGGTTGCCAGCATCACCAGTCATCGGCGCTCGCGAATGAAGAGCGCACGCTGCACTTCCTGCAGATGTGCGGATCCTTCCGCGTTTTGGTGGTGGAAGCGCTCGTTCCCAGCATTTTCTTCTGCCATGTCATGTGGCTGCGCTTTTTCGGGCCTTTTTGCCAAGCCTGCAAGGGCGTGGGAGGGTTGTGAGCATCATCGGTCATCGGCGCTCGCGAATGAAGAGTGCCCAATGCACTTCCTGCACATGTGCGTATCCTTCCGCGTTTTGGGGCTGGAAGCGCTTGTTCGAGCGTTTTTCTTCCGCTTGGATACGTGGTTGTGCTTGTCTGGTCCTATTGCCAAGCCAGCAAGGGCGTGGGAGGGTTGCGAGCATGACCGGTCATCGGCGTTCGCGAATGAAGAGCGCCCGCTGCACTTCCTGCACATGTGCGGATCCTTCTGCGTTTTGGGGCTGGAAGCGCTCGTTACGAGCGCTTTTCTTCCGCCGGGTCACGTTGCTGTGCTTGTCTGGTCCTATTGCCAAGCCAGCAAGGGCGTGGGAGGGTTGCGAGCATCACCGGTCATCGGCGTTCGCGAATGAAGAGCGCCCGCTGCACTTCCTGCACATGTGCGGATCCTTCCGCGTTTTAGGGCTAGAAGCGCTCGTTTCAAGCGCTTTTCTTCCGCCGGGTCACGTGGTTGCACTTGATTGGGCTTTTTACCAAGCCAGCAAGGGCGTAGGAGTGTTGCGAGCATCATCGGTCATCGGCGCTCGCGAATGAAGAGCGCCCGCTGCACTTCCTGCACATGTGCGGATTCTTCCGCGTTTTGCAGCTGGAAGCGCTCGTTCTAAGCGTTTTTCTTCCACCGTGTCACGTGGCTGCGCTGATCTGGTCCTATTACCAAGCTAGTAAGGACGTGGCAGGGTTGCGAGCATCATTAGTCATCGACGCTCGCGAATGAAGAGCGCCCGCTGCACTTCCTGCACATGCGCAGATCCTTCCGCGTTTTGGGACTGGAAGCGCTTGTTCCGAGCGTTTTTCTTCCGCCGGGTCGCGTGGTTGCGCTTGTCTGGGCCTATTATCAAGCCAGCAAGGGCGTGGGAGGGTTGCGAGTATCATCGGTCATCGGCGCTCGCGAATGAAGAGCGCCCGCTGCACTTCCTCCTCATGTGGGGATCCTTTGGCGTTTTGGGGGTGGAAGCGCTCGTTTCGAGCGTTTTTCTTCCACCAGGTCACGTGGCTGTGCTTGCCTCGTTCTATTGCCAAGCCAGCAAGGGCGTGGGAGGGTTGCAAGCATCATCGGTCATCGACGCTCGTGAATGAAGAGCGCCCGCTGCACTTCCTGCACATGTGCGGATCCTTCCGCGTTTTGGGGGTGGAAGCGCTCGTTCCGAGCGTTTTTCTTCCGCCGGATCATGTGGCTGCGCTTGTCTGGTCCTACTGCCAAGCCACCAAGGGCATGGGAGAGTTGCGAGCATCATCGGTCATCGCCGCTCGCGAATGAAGAGCATCCGCTGCACTTCCTGCACATGTCCGGATCCTTCCGCGTTTTGGGGGTGGAAGCGCTCGTTTCGAGCGTTTTTCTTCCGCCGGGTCACATGGCTGCGCTTGTCTGGTCCCAATACCAACCCAGAAAGGGCGTGGGAGGGTTGCAGGTATCATCGGTCATCGGTGCTCGCAAATGAACAGCGCACGTTGCACTTCCTGCACATGTGCGGATCCTTCCGCGTTTTGGGGCTGGAAGCGCTCGTTCCGAGTGTTTTTCTTCCGCCGGGTCATGTGGCGGCGCTTGTCTGGTCCTACTACCAAGCTGACAAGGGCGTGGGAGGGTTGTGAGCACCATCGGTCATCGGCGCTCGCGAATAAAGAGCGCCCGCTGCACTTCCTGCACATCTGCGGATCCTTCCGCGTTTTAGGGGTGGAAGCGCTCGTTACGAGCGTTTTTCTTTTGCCGGATCACATGGCTGCACTGCCTGGGCCTATAACCAAGCCAGCAAGGGCGTGGGAGGGTTGCGAGCATCATCGATCATCGGCGCTCGCGAATGAAGAACGCCTGCTGCACTTCCTGCACGTGTGCGGATCTTTCCGCGTTTTGGGGGTGGAAGCGCTCGTTCCGAGTGATTTCCTTCCGCTGAGTCATGTGGCTGCGCTTGTGTGGGCCTTTTGCCAAGCCAGCAAGGGCGTGGGAGGGTTGCGAGCATCATCGGTCATCGGCGCTCGCGAATGAAGAGCGCCCGCTGCACTTCCTTCACATGTGCGGATCCTTCCGCGTTTTGGAGCTGGAAGCGCTCGTTTCGAGCGTTTTTCTTCTGCCGGGTCACGTGGCTGCACTTGCCTGTGACATGGAAGATGGGAGATCGGATATGGGAGATCGGATATGGGAGATAGGGGGATGGGAGATGGGAGATGGGGGATGGGAGATGGGATATGGGAGATGGGGGATGGGGGATGGGAGATGGGAGATGGGAGATGGAGGATGGGAGATGGGAGATGGGAGATGGGAAATGGGAGCTTGGTGGTGGGAGATGGGGGATGGGAGATGGGAGATGGGCTGCTCACTAGTTGCTGTTCTGTGGTTGCTGCTCTTTTGTTGCTGCTCACTGGTGGCTTCTCCCTGGTTGCTGCTCACTGGTTGGTGCTCCCTGGTTTCTGTTCAGTGGTTGATGCTCACTGGTTGATGCTCACTGTTTTCTCCTCCTTTGTTGGTGCTCACTGGTTGCTGCCCACTGAGTGCTACTCACATGTTGATGCTCCCTGGTTGCTGCTCACTGCATCCTACTTCCTGGTTGCTTCTCATGGGTCATTGTTCATGGGTTGCTGCGCACTGGTTGCTTTGCTGCTAACTGCATCCTGCTCACTGGTTGTTGCTCACTGGTTGTTGCTCACTGGTTGTTGCTCACTGTTTGCTGCTCACGGGTTGCTGCTCACTGATTGTATGAAGGACGCGACAAAGTTTGCGATCGATGAGTTCATAGCGCAGCACTGTGACGGGTTTATCGCAGCACTGTTCGATTCTAACCCGACAACGCACAGCTGCTGCGTTCGCGTACTACAGTGTGTCAGCCACACGGAGCTCTTGCAGCCACTTGCAACCATCACAGATCGCTGTTGATTACTGTACGACTTCTGCCAGCTGCGAAAACTGTAGCCACATTCTCCAGACTTGACATGTGGTAGCAGCGCACATGCTCAACGTGGTTTGCTAATGTGGCACGCCTGGAAGGTTTTGCGCTCGCATTTTTTTTTTCCCGCGCAATACCAGTCTGAAATATGGGTTTTTCTTTTCTGGAGTTTTGTGATAAGATGTCGTAGTAGGAATATGCCCTTAGGCAAATTCTAGTCTAGTCCATTAACGCCCCTACAAATGAATATCCATGTGACTTGGGGATGTGTAATCCAGTACCATACATGGCTCAGTAAATCCGCAGATTACAAGAATTTCATACAGCACTTAGGCACATACGACCACCGTCAGTGCAGACTCCATTGCTCTACGACAATGCATCGGGCCCCCGTCCATGACTACGGGCGTATCTGTGTCGTGCCTCAGCTTTGCTGAAGGTATTCATTCACCTGCACCTTGATCGACTTCAAATCATCAATGATGTGTGGTGAGTGCAGTGCAGGGTGAGGAGGGAAAGAGGGCGCATTTGAGGGCAAGACATCCTCGGATGCTACACAAGTTGATAGAAGATTTATGCATGTGTCTGTGCACTGAACAAGTGTACACCTGGTACACAAGTTGATAGGAGATTTATGCATGTGTATGTGCACTGAACAAGGGAGTTGCAGCAGCAAACGACTGTGATGTGGCTGAAGAAGTTCAGAAGATTTACATACATTAGACCGGGATGTCACAGAGAGAGCGGACAAGTGGTGAACAGGAGGCATGCAGGGATGATAACGGCTGAGAAAGTGAGAAAGCGTGCATGTAGGGAGAGTGCAGAGAGGCAAGGAGGCTCACCGCTAGCTCTTGCTGCACGAGGGCAAAGACGGCCTTCATTTGATGCAGGCGCTGCGGGGAGGGCAGTGCAAGGCAGCAACGAGTGAGAGTGGAGGGGAGTGCAAGGCAGCAACGAGTGAGAGTGGAGAGAGAGCCCAGACGGGACAGAACAAAAGGAGATGGTGCATGGGTACCTTGTGCCTGCTGTGGAACATGGTGCATGGGTACCTTGTGCCTGCTGTGGAACATGGTGCATGGGTACCTTGTGCCTGCTGTGGAACATGGTGCATGGGTACCTTGTGCCTGCTGTGGAACATGGTGCATGGGTACCTTGTGCCTGCTGTGGAACATGGTGCATGGGTACCTTGTGCCTGCTGTGGAACATGGCATATATCCGCCGCTTATACCGCTCCTTCTCCTCCTCATCCTCACACTCGTCCATTTCAGTAAATATCCGCTCCGCTTCTTCCCTGCCACGCATGCATGGCAGCGCAGTGAGGCAAGGCAGGGCAGCAGCATGTACACATGCCTCAGTGCATCACAGCAGCATGTACACATGCCTCAGTGCATCACAGCAGCATGTACACATGCCACAGTGCATCACAGCAGCATGTACACATGCCTCAGTGCATCACAGCAGCATATACACATGCCTCAGTGCATCACAGCAGCATGTACACATGCCTCAGTGCATCACAGCAGCATGTACACATGCCTCAGTGCATCACAGCAGCATGTACACATGCCACAGTGCATCACAGCAGCATGTACACATGCCTCAGTGCATCACAGCAGCATGTACACATGCCTCAGTGCATCACAGCAGCATGTACACATGCCTCAGTGCATCACAGCAGCATGTACACATGCCACAGTGCATCACAGCAGCATGTACACATGCCTCAGTGCATCACAGCAGCATGTACACATGCCTCAGTGCATCACAGCAGCATGTACACATGCCACAGTGCATCACAGCAGCATGTACACATGCCTCAGTGCATCACATGGCCCACGTGTGAGCCCTCCCCTCCCCTCCCTGAATGCAGTGCCTCACCGCTGGGCGTCGAGGATGCAGTGCAGGCGCAGGTACACGGCGTACTTGTCTGTGAACTCCGCGTGGTACAGAGCGTACCTGCCACCCGCCCAACCACCATGATACATGTGCTCCATCAGCGTGCAGTGGTGTGCGCAGGCACGGCATGCAGTGTTGTGTGCTGCCACGGCATGCAGTGTTGTGTGCTGCCGCGGCATGCAGTGTTGTGTGCTGCCGCGGCATGCAGTGTTGTGTGCTGCCACGGCATGTAGTGTTGTGTGCTGCCATGGCATGCAGTGGTGTGTGCTGCCATGGCATGCAGCGGTGTGGGCAGGCATGGCACACAGTGGTGGTGTGTGCAGGCATGGCAGGGGCCCTTACTGGTCGCGAGATGTGATTGGCCCCTTCAGCTCGGGCTTGTCCTTCTCATACGCCTCATACAAGGACGTGTCATGCCCCTCCCACCCCTCATCGCTGCCATCCTCTCCCTCTGCCACTCCCCCCTCCTCCGCTTCCTCCTCATGCCACCTCCGCTTCTGCCTCGCCTGCCTCCCACTCTCCTCTCCCTCTGCCCATCCCCCCACAGCAGCCGCGGCGGCATCTGAGGCAGGCGGGGAGTCGGGGTGAGCATGGGGCTTGTCAGCACTGCCACCCACTCCGCGCTTCATCCCACCACCCATGTCTGCCAGCCCGCCTTCCCCTGCCCCATCCTGCCCGCCCTCCTGCCTCTTTCTCTTCTCCCTCTTCTCCCCCACCCTGCCTGCTTTACTTTTCTTCTCCTTCTTCCTCTTCTCCACCTTCCCCACCTCCCTCTCCTCCATCACTTCGACCCCCACTACTACCCCTTCACCCCTGCCGCCTTCACCCCTGCCGCCGTCACCCCTGCCGCCTTCACCCCTGCCGCCGTCACCCCTGCCGCCTTCACCCCTGCCGCCGTCACCCCTGCCGCCTTCACCCCTGCCACCTTCACCCTCTCGCCCCAGCGGCCCAGATCCCTTTAGCAGCCCACGGGGCCCCTTGTCGCCCCCTCGCCCTGCACCCACCTCCTCCAACCCATCCCCATCCCCCCCGTGCCGTGCCACCTCCTCCCTCGCACCGCCCACCTTCTCCTTCTCCCGCGCGTCCTCATCCTCCCCACCCTTCACACGCAACCTTTTCTTTGCCTTACTCTCCTCTTCTTGCCTTTCCTGCATCTCTCTCTGCTCCTTCTCTACCTGTCGCCTCTCCGTTTCCCTCTCTTCCCTGTCCTTTTCCTGTTTCGCTCTTTTCTCCTCCTCCCTTCTTTCCCTCTCTTCTGTTTCCCTTCTCTCCCTTCCAAGCCTCTCTGCCATTTCCTTATCATCTTTCTCTTTCTCTCTCCTCTCCCTCTCCCTCTCCTCCCTCGCCATCACAGCTTTCTCTTTCTCTCGCTTTTCCTTCTCCCCTTCTTTCGCCTCCCTTTCTTGTTCTGCCCTCCGCTCTGTATTCTCCTTCGCCCTCCGCACCTCTTCCTCTCTCATTCTCTCCTCCCTGGCCGCGCGCTCCGCCTCCTCCCTCTCCCTCATCCGCCGAACATTATCCTCTCTCACTCTCTTCCTCTCCTCCTCAAGCTTCTCTTTTCTCATTCTCTCCTCCTCTTCTGCCTTTCTCACTCTCTCCTCTTCTGCCTTTCTTGCTCTCTCCTCTTCTGCCTTTCTCACTCTCTCCTCTTCTGCCTTTCTCACTCTCTCCTCTTCTGCTTTTCTCACTCTCTCCTCCTCTGCCTTTCTCACTCTCTCCTTCTCCTCTGCTTCCCTCAGTGCCCCATCGTCTTGCTCCTCACTCTCTGTCGCCTTAGCCTTCGCTTCCTTTCCAGCCCATGCCTCCTCTGCCTCCCCTTCAATCCCTTCCTCCCTTTGCACCCCAATTGTCCCGTCCTCCCCCTTCCCTTCCTTTCCAGGCTCATCCCTCTCACCATGCACATCAATGCTATCTCCCTTCTCCCCGCTGCCATCCACCTTCAACTCCCCCTCCTCCCCCTCCTCTCCTCCCTCTCCTTGCGTTTCAGAATCAGTCTTGTCCGCTCTCCCTTCGCCCATCCCACCTTCTTTTTCCTCGCCCTCGCCGCCTTTCTCATCCCCCTCATTCTCTATCCTCACGTCATCTCCTACCATCTCCCCCTCCTCCTCCCCCTGCCCCTCCTGCAGCTCCTTCCCTTCTTCCACTCCCTTCTTTCCATCAACCTCTTTCCCTCCATCTTCCCCTTTTTCACCAAGTCCCCCCTCCCCCCCTTCCGCCCAGGTCCCCTCTTCCCCCACACCCCCCCTCCCCCCCTGCCCACCCGCCTCCTCTCCTCCAGTGCTCGCGTCTGCCTGCCCCTCTTGAGCTGCCCTCGCCTCCCTCTCCACCCGCCCATGCCCGTGCCCGTGAGCGCGCCCCTCGTGCCGCGCCCTCGCCCCCTTGCCCTCCGCCCTCTTCTCCGCCTCGCCTCCGCCCCTGCCGCTGTCCGCCCCGTCCCCATCGTCAATGTCGATGTCAATCTCACTCGCACTGCCGCTGCTGCCGCTGCTGCTGCTGCCAGCATCACCCTCCCCCTCGCTCTCACTCCCGCTCCCACTCTCACTACCACTGCCACTCCCACTCCCACTCTCACTCTCGCTCTCACTCCCACTCCCACCCTCGCTACTCTCACCTTTCACCTGTCCCTCGCCCTCCAAACCTCCACTCTCCCCAACGCCCCCTCCTCCCTCCCCCTCTTCCCCTTCCCCATGGGAGGGCGACTCATCCCCAAACAAGTCTTCCAGCCGCACCTCCTCTCCCCCCTCCTCCTCCCCCCCTCCCTCCTCACCCGCTTCCCCCTTCTTCTCCTCACCCTCCTCCCCGCCTGCCCCTTCGCCCTTTGAGTGATTCCACCCGTCATCCCCAGTGCCCTCCCCTAAGCCCCTCTCTCCCGCCTCTTCCCCTGCTGTGCTCACCCCCCCCTCCACCACTCTGCCCTCCTCCTCCCCCTTCCCCTCGTCCCCCACCTCTTCCTCTTCCACCACCAACTCCTCATCCTCTTCTTCCTCCTCCTCCTCTTCCTCCTCCTCCTCTTCCTGCTCCTGCTCCTTCTCCCCATCCCCATGCCCATGGCCATGTGCGTCCCCGCCCTCGTCGTCGTCGAAGCCCGTCTCGTTGAGGTTCAGCAGCGGCACCCTGCCCGCCCGCGCCGCCTCCCTGCCACCCCCACCCTCTGCCGCCTCCACGCCTCTGCGGGGGAATGGCCGGGGGGGAAGGGGAGAAGGGGTATGGGGAGAGTAAGAACGGGAAGGGAGGAAGGAAGAGGTAGGGGGAGGAGAAATGGGGACGGGGCAGGGAAGGCGCGATGGCAAGAGATGGTGAGAGTGAGGAGCAGCAGGGCGGTGAGCATGGAGGGCAAAGGCAATAGAGGCTTCAGGGCAGCGATGGAGGGCCGGGGGGAGAGAGGGAAAGGGGCGAGGAGCAAGGGGGTGGTTCTCACGGGGAGTGCCTTGGAGGCGTGGACGCGGGGCGGGGGGATGCCGATGGGAGGGGGGACGTGGATGGGCGGGGGGAGGCAGCAGCTAGAGGGGAGAGAGGAGGTGTCCTCAGAGTGGAATGCGATGGCAGGGGGGAATGCCCGGGCAGAGGAGAGTGTGAGGGTAGAGGAGAGTGTGAGGGCAGAGGGGACGTGGAGCGACGCTGTATGGGCGAGCGCCCTGCGGCTGCTGCTGCTGCAGGGTGTGCGGCGTGGGCGCCCTCCTTGATGTGTGGCAGCAGGCGGTAGTACCCCGGCGCATGCAGCCTCGCTATCTGCACGCCATGCTCCCCGCGCACCATGTGGGGCGGATGGGCGGTGCAGGTACAGGGAGTGCACGAGGTGGAAGCAATGTGTTGAAAGAAGATGTGGCCATCAACAAGTGCACGCGGAGGTTGGTGGGGAAAGGAGGCAGTTGGGACCAAAAATGGTCGGGAGACTAAACTACCACTGGTCCCAACTGGTGGTTGAAATAACCAATCACAAATGGTGGATTGACACCCCGACACAAAGGCACACCAAAGAGGGGCTACATTCGTACGTGAGCAGTGCATGGGTGCACGGACAGCTGTTGTAGCTGCAGTGCATGGGTGCACGGACAGCTGTTGTAGCTGCAGTGCATGGGTGCACGGACAGCTGTTGTAGCTGCAGTGCATGGGTGCACGGACAGCTGTTGTAGCGGAGCGGGGTACTGCATGACATTGCAGCCGGGGAACGAGGTCACAGCAATGAATCTCAAGGGGCGTACCCCCGAAGGCCAAACCTAGACTGGCAGGTGCAATCTCTACCGAGTCACGCAGTGCACGTGGGGAAGGGACTGACCGCCCCATTGCGTGTTGGGGGGGGAGGGACTGACCCCCCCATTGCGTGTGGGGGAGGGAGGGACTGACCCCCCCATTGCGTGTGGGGGAGGGAGGGACTGACCCCCCCATTGCGTGTGGGTGTGGGGGAGGGAGGGACTGACCCCCCCATTGCGTGTGGGGGAGGGAGGGACTGACCTGCCTGACGACTTTGTCGAGCTGCGCCCAATCATGCCCCGTTGCCCTCTCCATCGCCTGGTGCACTCATGCACGCACACACACACACACACACACACGCACACACACACACGCACACGCACACGCACACACACACGCATACGCACACACACACACACACACACACACACACACACACACACACACACACATCTGCATTGCATATGGATGAGGGGATTGTGATCCATTGCATATCCCCGCCCTCCTTTTCTCAAACTCTCGATGTCTTCCATCCCACTACCCTCCCCTACCACTCACACCCACCCTCCCTCCATCTCCACCTCGCCCTCCATCCCCTTACCCTCCCCACCGACTCACACACTCCCTCCCTCCCCCTCCTCTCTTCCATTATTTTTTACCCCTCTCTCTTTTATTCTCTCTTCCTTTTCCACTGTCCCGCTCCCATTTCACTGCCACTGCCCCTCTCCCTATTCTCTCCCCCCACGCCACCGCTCCCCCCAGCCCCTGTCTCCCCTTTGCCCGCCATGCAGCGCGGCGCTCACAGTTTTGCTGACGCCCTTGGGGTTGCGCCCCAGGATGTCCACCAGGAACGCGCGCAGCTCGCCCGCGGGCACCACAGCCACCTGGGGCGCCTGAGGCATGTCAGGCGTGCCCCCCAGCAGGGCGACTGCGGCACGGTTGTGTGCGTCGGGTGCATGAGCGGCTGCGCGCGGGGGCGTGGCGTGGGCGGACCGCGGCTCCAGCGCCCTCCCCACCGACAGGTCCGGGGAGATGGCGGGGGGGGTGGCACGATTGAAGGGCGACAGGCGCTGCTGCTGCTGCTTGGGCAGAGGGGGGATGGGCGGGGCTGAAGATCGCTTGAAGAGCCCTGCCCAGGGGTGATGGGCGGCAGGGGTGATGGAGAGTGAATGGAGAGTGAATGGAGAGTGAATGGAGAGTGAATGGAGAGTGAATGGAGAGTGAATGGAGAGTGAATGGAGAGTGAATGGAGAGTGAATGGAGAGTGAATGGAGAGTGAATGGAGAGTGAATGGAGAGTGAATGGAGAGTGAATGGAGAGTGAATGGAGAGTGAATGGAGAGTGAATGGAGAGTGAATGGAGAGTGAATGGAGAGTGAATGGAGAGTGAATGGAGAGTGAATGGAGAGTGAATGGAGAGTGAATGGAGAGTGAATGGAGAGTGAATGGAGAGTGAATGGAGAGTGAATGGAGAGTGAATGGAGCGTGAATGGAGCGTGAATGGAGAGAGAATGGAGAGTGAATGGAGAGTGAATGGAGAGTGAATGGAGAGTGAATGGAGAGTGAATGGAGAGTGAATGGAGAGTGAATGGAGAGTGAATGGAGAGTGAATGGAGAGTGAATGGAGAGTGAATGGAGAGTGAATGGAGAGTGAATGGAGAGTGAATGGAGAGTGAATGGAGAGTGAATGGAGAGTGAATGGAGAGTGAATGGAGGAATGGAGAGCGAATGGAGAGCGAATGGAGAGTGAATGGAGAGTGAATGGAGAGTGAATGGAGAGTGAATGGAGAGTGAATGGAGAGTGAATGGAGAGTGAATGGAGAGTGAATGGAGAGTGAATGGAGAGTGAATGGAGCACATGGGCGCACAAGCAACAAGTGAACGTACACATGGGATGCATGAGGGGTGCAGCATGCTGACGCCACCAAGAATGCACCATTCAGTGTGCACGTGCATTCAGTGTGCACGTGCATTCAGTGTGCACGTGCATTCAGTGTGCACGTGCATTCAGTGTGCACGTGCATTCAGTGTGCACGTGCATTCAGTGTGCACGTGCATTCAGTGTGCACGTGCATTCAGTGTGCACGTGCATTCAGTGTGCACGTGCATTCAGTGTGCACGTGCATTCAGTGTGCACGTGCATTCACCCCACTGCCTGCCTGCGCGCACCTGGCTTCTTCTGCACGCCCAAGCTCGCAGCGCCCCTCCCGGCACCCCTGTGCACTGCAGGTGGGGGGCAGGGCCGCACAAGCAGAAGCAGGCACATGGTTAAAAAAAAAAAAAGGGAGAGAGAGGTAAGGATTGTGGAGGAATGCAGGCCAGAAATTGATGCTGGCTACACAGATGGATGGCACGACAAGACGAGAATTGGGCGGCAAAGCATCATACCGTCAACGGTGGGGGCGGCTGCCTTGTTGCCCTTGAGATCCACCAGCTTCAGCCTGCCGTGCCCCACGCCATGCACACACCACGCACACGCCACGCACACACCACGCACACGCCACGCACACGCCACTCACACGCCACGCACACGCCACGCACACACCACGCACACGCCACGCACACGCCACTCACACGCCACGCACACGCCACGCACACGCCACGCACACGCCACGCACACGCCACGCACACGCCACGCACACGCCACGCACACGCCATGCACACGCCATGGAACATGCCGCAGCCCAGCCATCCAGACGCACGCAAGCCCAGGAAGAGGGGAATGGGGAAGTGCGTGAAATTCTTTCATGCCATGGCATGGCATGTCGGCACAGCACAATGCGAAGGTGAACCATGCATGCCATCACATCACATGCATGTGTGCACTGCCATGCCTTGCCTCCCATGTCTCCCTTGCCACCCATCACACGGGCAGCATGTGCCGCATGTCTCACGAGGAATGTACCAACCATCGTCACAAGGAACAGCGCCACACTCACCACGCCCGGCATCACGCCATTGCACATGCCACCACACGCCTTCATCCCTTCTCCCATTCCCCTCCCTTCCACTCCCCGCCCTTCCCCCTCCCCCCCTCTCCCCCTGTGCGCACTTGTTACTGGCGACTTTAGGAGTGCTCTTGGTGAGGTCGCGCCACTTCTCCTTCTCGCGCTCGTCCAGTGGTCGCTGCACGCTCAGCTTCCGCGCCACCTGCGCCACGTGCTCCAGCGCCCGCCGCTCCCCGCCCTCCGCACCGCCGCCCGCCGCGTCGCCGGGCGGCAGGAGGCGGTAGACGTCGCAGAGCGCGGGGTCGGGCTCGCTGTGCGACGTGAACTTGAACTCCACTCCGCCCACCCTGATGGCCTGCCGGGGGGGGAAGGGGGGGAATTGGGGGAAGGGGGAGGGAGGGATGCAAGGGGAGCGGCGGCTCACAGAGGGCGTTGACAGCATGGGAGAGTGGAAGACGCTTCGAGGACTTGAAGGGACCTTCCACTTGCCTCGACTCCCCAGCGCCCTTTCCCTCACACTCAACCCCCTCTCAACCCCCTCTCAACCCCCTCTCAACCGCCTCCTCCTCTCCTTTACTCTCCCTGCCCACCCCGACACCCTCCCTTCACCGCACTCCCCCTCAGCGCGCCCCGTCCTCACGCACGTGGCCACTGCCGTTCCGTCCGAACTTCATCATCGCCTCAACGCCATCGTCGCCGGACGTCAGCAGCTCCGTCAGTTTGTCCGTCAGTTTGATCCACATCCCGAACGACTCCGCTCCACCGCCCTCGTCGTGCAGAAGCGCAAATTCCTCTTCCCGCGCGCCCCCTGCCGCGGCCGCGCTGACCTCCACCGCTGGGGACGCGCGGCGCGAGGCCGGGCGAATGGAGCTCTTGCTCTCGCGGAGCATGGGCGGCGCGGGCTTGCTCAGCACACCCGGAGGCGGCGGCGGCATGGCGTCCCTGTCGCGCCCGTACCCGCGCCCTCGCCCGCCCCCGCCCCCCCCTCCGCGCCCCGGGCGCTTGAGCTTGCCCATGGGGCAGCGCGGGGAGTGCGCGGCGGCGAGCAGGCAGGTGAAGCGCGCCGATGGCGACGAGGCGGGCGAGAGGGAGTGGCGCTACCGCCGCTGCTGCCAGTCGCGCGAAACGAGGGATGGCCCTTGAAGCTTGCGGAGGAAGGCGCGAGTTGAGTTGAGTCCAAGGCACTGCGGAGGCGCAGTCGCGATGGTGGCGTGAAGAAAGCTAGGGTGTCGGACTAGCAAGCTTCTAAATTGGTGTGTACATTTATGATTGTGTGGACTTACATTCTTCACAAATCACCCTGTCATTGGTTGAAAACAGTAAGGCAAAAAGAACTTGTATGTCTTGTTATTAGCTACCCCATTCAAATTTGGCAGGTGGTATGGGCAATAACAGATTTGCTATTGCATTAGAGCATTGGCATACACTGCGCACACAAACATGGAGAATTTGTGGTGGGCTGGCAAGAAGATCCCCATGGGGGCAGCTAAGCTAAGCTAAGCATCGAAGCCAGAGTAGACGCCCTGGTCCCTGAGCTGCCGCTTCTCCTCCTCCACGTAGTTCTTCCCTCGGCTCGCCTGCCCCGCATCGCGCTTCCTCTTCTCGCGCTGGCTGAAGCTCATCGCAGCAGCCGCACCCCTCCCTCGCTCGCCTCCTGCTTGGCGGCGCTGCCAGTGGCGCTCTCTGTGCTCCGCTGCCAGGTCCGCCCTCAGCTGCCTCGCCGCTGCCCCGTGCGCCAACGCCCTCGCTGCTGCCGCCTGTGAGCACCACCAGGCACACGGGTAACAGGCACACGGGCGGAGGCATGGGGAGGGGCACGTGGTGGGGGCAGGGTGTGAAGAGGGGCATGTGGTGAGAGGGAGGGGGAGAGGGCGATGGGGGGCAATGTTGGACAACCAGAACAACGCCTGGCTCTTATTACCATGGAGAACGGTGGTGAGTGGTGTGACGCGGTGCCAACATCCCCCTGGCATCCCAGCATCCCTGCCTACCTCAGCACCAGCATCACTCGCCAGCTCCTGCAGCTGCCGGCTCTCCTCCCGCGCCCTCTTCCGCTTCTCCCTCTCCTCCTCCCCATCCCCCTCCGCCTCACTCCCCCGCCCCTGCCCCTGCGCGTGCCCCTCGCGCCCTTGCCCGCAGCCCCACTTGCCCCAGTCCACGGCGGCGCTGGGCTGCTGGTCGGGCAGCAGCAGCACAGACGGGCCGCCCACCAGCCCGTGCCGCACCAGCGCCGCGTAGTCCACCGCTGCACGCACGCGCGGGACAGGGCCGGGAGAGAGTGGGGTAGCAGGGGGCGCAGAGCAGAGTGAGAGTGCAGGAACATTGTACGGACGAGCGCGAAGCTACATCACACCACCGCTCCTTCCCACCACGCAATCCTACCTCCGCCCTTGCGCTGTCCCGTTTCCTCTCCGCCTCCGCTCGTAGCCTTCTCTTTCCCTCCTTTCTCCTCCTCCGCCTCCTCCTCCTTCTCATCATCCTCCTCCTCCTCCTCCTCGTCTCCTTCCTCCTCGTCCTCCTCGCTCTCGCTCTCTTCCAACCCCGCTAGAGGGTCCATCGCTTTAAGCAACTTCGACATTCGCGAAACTCAAACGAGGTCGCACACGCCACTAGAAGCAACGTCCCGCTCCCACAACCTTTCTCGTCACGCGCTCTTCCACGCGCTCCACTCCCTCGCCTCGCGCTCAAGTTCAATCCGAGCTGTCACTACCACCCGTAGGTGCCTTCAAGTGCTACCGAGTGAGTGCGGAAGGTCTACCCGCAGTTCGTGGACGGCGCGAACAGCAGAAAGTGCTCGAGACGGCGCGCATAGCAGACAGTGGCTGAGAGGAGTACGCGCAGGATGATTTGGTGGACAAATTGGTCAACATGGTGAGGCGCGTTATTGTGTTGGCAAATGGCAATCATAGTAAGCTTAAAACAGATCTTTGATGGCTAGGCAAGCTAATACACATGTCAATGATACATTCAATGATCTAAGTTTATTAGACGCAATCAGATTCGAAATTGTTGGAATAACCGAAAGGCTATATAAAGCATTCCCGAAGCTGTTCCACTGTACCAGTACCGCAATAGCTCATATAGAGCATACGGAATGTCGAAGGTCACCCGAAGGTCAACCGTCTGAGGAAGTCAACGGTCGTGACCCTTGGCAATTCAGTAACCGCGCGACAGTTAATTCACTGCAACATGGTAACTGTCGAGGATAGCAATAGTCACGGTTATTGTAGCTATGCAATACAGTTAATAAGGGAATGTACCCCTCAGGGTACATGGCTAGCTAGATTTCTACTTAATCTCTTGTACTCCTATCTTTCAATTATCTTGTTCTCTTTCAATTATTATTCAACAAGGTCACTACAGAGACTTCATTGTCTCCCCTCATACTTAACAGATTCTATTAGATCCACTGGATTCTTGGTAATATCAGCATGTATTAGAGCTAGAGTGGATTATACGATCTGTCAAGTCCTCGTTCTTCTCAAAACAATCCCTTTATAAAGTCATTTATTACACCTCAAAGTCTGCAATACTATGGCTCCTGAAGGAAAAGCTACTGCAGACTCACCGGGCCCACCACCAGCAACGACTAACGTGCCATCAGCGGTGACCTCCGTCAGCGCCGTTGTCGTTGAGGAGCTAGTCGCACGCATCAACGCCCTTGAAAGCCATCAAGCAATGAGCGTTGACGGCTCAAGCTATGCACGTGGCGTTGCTGGACTTCCTCTTCCTGGAGAAGACCGACGCGTCAACTCCGAGAGATCCTTCACCTTCGAGAATCGTCAAGAGTCAGCTCTTGCACAAGACAACCTACAGCGCTCACAGTCAGACATTGCTTCAATGCAAACCAAATTTGTATTGACTTCAAAATTGAAGACCTCAATTCCTTTCAACGAAAAGGATTTCTACATGTGGAGTTTCGAATTCTAGCTTCTCGCGACAACCGCTCAAATCTGGATGTACTACGACGGAAGCCTACCTTTTCCCTCGGAAGGTACCATCCAGGAGAAGCATCAATACCACCACGAATCCCTCCTCGCGTACACTGCTCTCCTTCGCAATCTCTCACCTGAAGAGCAGCTCGGCATTCGCCCTTATAAGACAGAGTGGGCTCCCGCGCAATCCTCTTAGGAACACCTGCGCAACTCATACATGGCAACAGATCCAGTTACGATGAGCCGTCTACTCAGCCAACTGACTTCGGTTAAAATGAAGCAAGGGGAGAAAGCGGGACCGTATGTCAACCGGTGCCGCAATCTGCGTGACCAAGTCAAGAAATGCGGTGGGACTGTCCCCGACGACATGTTCATCTCGATGGTCATCTCTGGCCTCGGCCCCGACTGGCAACAATGCCAGTCACTCCTTCGCGCCCGAGCAACCATATCAGAGTCAGCTCTGTGCGCCACGCTTCTTTCGGAGCAGAAGGAAATCGACCTGTACAACGAGAAGAATGTTAAACGGGAGAAATTAGTATTCTACACAGGAGCATCACAAGGGGAACAACGCGGAAAGAAGGGAGCTTTCTGCAAATACTGCAAGAAGTCTGGCCACTCTATCGACCAGTGCTACAAGCGTCAGGCCGCTGACGAGCGGCGCAACGCCTCCAACCAACAACCATCGACGCAGACAAAGCCCTCCGCCACTGTGCTGCCTCCTTCCGTCGCCAGCACTTCACAATCCCCTGCACTCATCACGACGAAGGACAAAGGAAAAGGATCAATCATAAGCTGCATGGCTCGACGCAACAGAGGGTCCCGTTACTGGGATCGAGTAACATTCGCTCGTGACAATCCCATCAACCCCGTCGCGCCCAGTCCAGACAATGACCCAACAGCTTTTACCTGGTCCTCTCGCCCCTCAGACATCCCTCCTGACTTCGAGCTCCCTCCCCCTACTCCGGAATCGCCGCCGAGCATTTCCGCAAGCAGATATTTCGCCCTCTCACCGTACACCGGCGAGCTTGTGAATAATTAGGAATGAAGAAGAGAGAGGGTTTGCACTAGCAGCAGTTGGCATACATATAGGAAACCCTAATTGGGTTGTACTCGCTATAGAGTACCCCACTGCAGGCTAGACAATTATAACATTCTGACACACCCCTATAGCCAAAGTGGGGTGTAATCAGCACAACGAGCAAGCAGGCATAGAGCAGGAGTTCACAATAGGGAGCAAAGCTAGAGTTAATCACAGCGGGCAAGTGAGGAGTAGGAGGAACTGTGGAGGGAGAGAAGATGGGAGGCAACGACTGAAGCTGCAGAGGCACGAGCACAGGAGCGGTTGACTCAGTGGCTACCGAAGCAAGGGCGACGGACTACTGGAGTAACTGGCTCCGCGGCTATAGACGAGCGGCAGGAGCAACGGACCCACTAGCGACTAGTGCAACAGGCTCACTAGCTACCGAAGCAAGGGCGACGGACTACAGGCGCTGCAGGCCACACGACAGCTACCTTCACACAACCTCCTCCAGCTGCCCCACACCTCTCGACACACACCCCCTGCTCAAACCCTAGTTCTACTCCCACAGCACCCCCCTTTCACACACCCCCTGCTGCACCCTAGGTTCACTCACACCCCACCCCCTAACACCACTCCGTCGACTCCCACACAACCACCCCCCTCAGCGGCAGCTGCAGCAGTGGGAGACAGAGGAGGAGGAGGAGCAAGGGAGACCACACACCCGCCACCCCCTACTCGCCACCCCTAAACCCTAACACAGGGCAGGGCGGGATGGCGGGTAGGGAGGTTACGGGGGGGGGGGGAAGGGGAGGGCCGACGCGCGGCCTCCCAGGGCGCCAAAGCAGGCGGCAGAAGGTGCGACGCCGCCCCCCCCCCCCCACGCGGCCCCCTCAGGTCACCTCGACAGGCGACGAGAAAAGAGGGGGGGGCGTTGCACGTGCCCCCGGTGCGCCGCGACAGGCGACGGAGCATGGCTAGGGCGGGGCCGGGGCAAGGTCGAGGCAGGGCCGAAAGGGGCGGCAACGGGGCCGCTGGAGGCGGCGACGGGGCCGATAGGGGCGGCGACGGGGCCGCGAAGGGGCCGCGAGGGGCCTGGAAGGGCGGCGACGGGCCGCTAGGGGTGGCGACGGGGCCGCGAAGGGGCGGCGACGGGGCCGATAGGGGCGGGGACGGGGCCGTGAAGGGGCCACGAGGGGCCTGGAAGGGCGGCGACGGGCCGCTAGGGGCGGCAACGGGGCCGCGAAGGGGCGGCGACGCGGCCGCAAGGGGCGGCGACGGGGCCGCTAGAGGCGACGACGGGGCCGATAGGGGCGGCGACGGGGCCGCGAAGGGGCCGCGAGGGGCCTCGAAGGGCGGCAACGGGGTCGCGAAGGGGCCGCGAGGGGGCGAGAAGGGCGGCGACGGGGCCGCAAAGGAGCCGCGAGGGGCCGAGGTCGGCGACGGGGCCGTTAGGGGCGGCGACAGGGCCGCGAAGGGGCCGCGAGGGGCCTGGAGGGGCGGCAACAGGGCCGCGAAGGGGCTGCTAAGGGTCGCGCGGGGGGCACGCCACCGGGCGTGCAGCACACAGAGTAGCAGCGGAAGCAGTTGGGTGGGCCCACAGGCCAGGAGCGTAGATGCTCTGATAGCATGTGAATAATAAGGAATGAAGAAGAGAGAGGGTTTGCACTAGCAGAAGTTGGCATACATATAGGAAACCCTAATTGGGTTGTACTCGCTATAGAGTAGACAATTATAACATTCTGACAGACCTTGATCGCATCGTCACGCCCAAGATTGCCAACCTCGCCCGCCAGCTCTACGAGGATCTGGACACGTGGTACCTGGACAGTTGCTGCGGACAACACATGGTGGGATCGCCAAAGTTCATCAGCAACTCTCGACGCATGCGACGACCCTGCGAAATCACCGCCGCCAACAACGGAAAAATGAAGGCATATGAGATTGGCGAAATCTACCTCGAGGCCGATGACACGAAGTTCACCATTCACATCGGGGACGTTCTCGTCGCCCCTGACCTACAATACAACTTACTCTCATTAGCTCAACTCATCCGGTGCGGAATCAACATTCGCAGCAATCAGAAGGAAAAGACCTTCGAGCTCTTCCGCAACAAAACTTACATCGGAAAGGCGATCGATGATGATGGAGTCTTCGTGCTGCAATTTTTTTCTCAGAGCACCACCCGCGACTCCCACCGCACACTGCTACTGAAAACAACTCCCACGGAGCCACCAACATGGTCACATCCCGACGAGATGGACCTCGAGCGACCAGCCTCCGACGGCCTTCTACGCTTGCGCACTGTCCCGAATGCCTCGACCTCCAACCCTGCAGAAACCGGACCTGCCACAATGGAAGAAGACAGCGGCACGTCAGGATATGCAACTCAACCAACCGAGGAAAACAAGACAGCGGAGACACACTGGCCGGGCTGGAACACTTCCGAGCCCGCGCTCAGATCGTGGGGAGAAGTACTAACTCCAGAAGAAGCAGCCGCAAGTGGGTGGGGCGCAGTTCCAGCAGAGGAAGTTGGCGCAACAGCAGGAGAAGCAGTTGGAGAAGCAGAGACCGCTGAAGACACATGGGGCGCCAGAGGAGGAT